CGGGCATCTAGTCGCCAACGCAAAATAAAATCCTCACCTGTACATTCGTTGCGACAGCACTAGCTATGCGACCGTCAATACTCAGGCTTAAAGACCACCTGCCTACACCGCACAAGTGGTACAATAAAGGCAGTTATTGGCAGTTTGGCAGTCTGAGGTCCAAACTGCCCGTGTGGTAGGTTTCGGGATAGAACCACTGCCCCCTTAACAAGCATTTCGTAAAAACAGACTTTTTAGGGTGTTTCCTTCGAAGTCGTACGGATCTGCACAAGAAGTGAGGGATCAACAGACTGTATACAAATAAGCCAGGTCTGCAAATGGTTGTGCACGCAAAACTCAAGTTCTGGGACAAGTGTAAAGTCCAGAAGCGGGAACATCCAGAACTTGTCGCCGAAGTGTATAGCCGGTGAACGCAAAGAAAAAGAGGCTTCATACAGAAGCATCGATTTGATACTAAAGCTAAAAGTTTAATTTCGGTACTGGTGCAGTCGGTATCTGAGCCTTAGGCGTTGGAAACGCTTTTGGTAATTCCTAGGTACCTGGTTTGATTTCTGCTGCAGACGATCTGACAACAGACCGCTTTCCGTTTTATTCAAAGCGGTAACTGGGAGCCGTCCAGTTTCATTGAAATGGTAAACTAATCAACATAAACTTCAGAGCTGGTTGTAAAACCTCCAGCAAAATATTAGCAACTTACTGTTAACTAATTGTAATTACCTTTGACTTCCGTTGATATCCTAGTTAGTTTTGTTATTTGGCACTTTTCTGTCTTTCCAGACGATAGTATTATATTGTTGCGATGTGGAGACGTGGAACTCGACGCACATGGCGATGATGAGAGTGACTAACAAAACTCGACTGCATTGAGAAAAATCTACCACAGTAAGGAGCATAGGATTTCAAGACGGTTGCTTCCATTACATGTATGAAGTATGCGTCTTCTCAGACACTCTGCTCTCATTCTTTGTGTAGTCATTGTTTCCTTCATTCCCAATTTCATTCCTGTTTTGTCCCCTCCATAGAAAAGATCAATTGCACTTTGTTGCCACGACTTTACTCAGTACGTGTATCATTCATGTCCTGTTTGCATACATCTTTATATCTTAGTAGAGGCAAGCCTTGACATCTGCAACCCATCAGTGATGCCCCACATAGGATGTCCTTTGGCACGCTATCATCCTTCATTTTCCAGGTGTGATGCAGTCACCTGAGCCTTCAGAGTCTGAGCATTGAGAATACTGTTGTGATATCTGCTCTTTCCAATATTTTACTGCTTGTAATTTTGCCTTGCCACTTAATACAAAGTATTCTTTTTGGACATCAGATGTGAAAAATATTTAGCCGTTTCTCCAATTGCGAATAAGTTGAACAATTCTCACTGTCATAATGAGGTATGATGAGAACACACCTCTGGTGGACAATAATTTTTGTTTTTTAATCGTGAGCTTTCTGCTCTCCCAAATTTTTTGTTTCTTTCTTATTAATCTTCTTATTCTTGTCGCTGCCTTACCTATAGTGATGTTGATTTCTTGGTCCAGCGATAGTTCGTTATTCACTGTCGATCCCAGATATATAAAATGGTCAAATGTCTTTCGCTCTTCACCATCAATGTAGACTGCATGTCCGTCATTCTTAACATCATGAACCATAATCTTTGTTTTCTCTTTGCTGACAGTTAGTCCAAATTCGCACATGCATGAGCCAATGCAGATAGTAAATTTACAGCTCCTCTTTGAGTTGACGGTTGTTGTTGCAATGTCTGCACACAACAGCTCCCTAATAAATATCTTCATTATTATGGTTTTGTCTTTCAGCCTATGAGCATTATAGAGGCTGCCATCCTACTGATAATGACTGAATATACCACTCCAAAGCATGAGAACATATTCTAAAGAGGGTAGGGACACATCCCGGCTTCACTCCATTCTTGATTACAACTCCTCTTATATTACACCGTCGAAGGTGATTATACCTTTCATACGTGTATGGAACAACTCAATATTACTCAGAAGGGCAAGTAGGCACCCAGTCTTCTTGAGCGTGTTGAACAGACCTTTATAACCAACCAAATCGGCCAAATCAAATACCTTAATAGGACCCCCAAAAAATGAATATAAGGTGGTTGATTTTGTTCACGGCATTTTTCCTGCCTCTGCCGCAGTGATACTATCATACCAGCGGTAGACCTGTTCCCGCGAAAGCCATACTGTGACTCTGGGTAAACCTGGGATCTGGAGTCTTCACAGAACAATCCTGCTAAGTTCTTTTCCTGGTGTCATGAACACTTTACTTGCCTTTTCTATTCGTATTTCAATATCTCTAAAGTTCTTCCGGCTTTATTTACATTGCTGCCCAACTAGGTACATGACTCCACATCTTGCAGTGAGTAGGTAGGTAGGTAGTTGTACCCCACCAGGACACCACACAAGCTATAAACACCCGGTAGCACAAAGTGCCACCATGCGGATGAGGATCACCCGTAGAGAGGTCCAAGAAACCCCTTTCAGCCGTTAGGCCATATCTATGGCCTAGTCCATATCAATGGCCCGGCTATATTCAGGGCCTCCGGCAGAAACCAGAGTGGTGATTCATATGACAAAACAATTGCACCCCACATGGGGACGACTTTACTATATTTTGCAGTGGTATATCACCCAATGAAATTGTAAAAAAGTTTGCAGTGCACAGAAAAAAAGAAGACAAATTGCTTACACTGTGTGCGCATATTTCTGATTTGTTCACCGTTTTTTTTTTTTTTTTATTAAACAGTGAGGGACATTTTATTTGGTTTGCACTGGCACAGGAACGGAGCAAGTGTGTGGAAACCAGATTTAAACGAAGTTGAAACTCGACCAAGACTAAGAAATAAGCAGACGGGAAACCCATGAGACTGTTGATATAATGAACAAAACAGCATTGTTTTATTTGTTTCAACGCCCCTGACTAATGCTACCACCACCACCACTAATACTATTTCTATCATTAACACCATTACCACCACCAACACTACTACTACTATTACTACTACTACTACTACTACTACTACTACTACTACTATTACTACTACTACTACTACTACTACTACTACTACTACTACTACTACTACTACTACTACTACTACTACTACTACTACTACTACTACTACTACTACTACTACTACTACTACTACTACTACTGCTGCTACTACTACTACTACAACTACTGCTACTACTACTACTAATCACCAAGTATCTAGCCGACTGGCGTGGGCGATCAGGCCTCTTCACAATCCGGGATCTGCAACTGCGTGTATCAGTTCGTGAGTTGACATCCCTCCATGCCATGACAAAAGAATGTCAAGATTCTTCTCACACTGTCCTGCTATGTCTCTCTCTTCTCACACTGTCCTGCTATGTCTCTCTCTTCTCACACTGTCATGCTATGTCTCTCTCTTCTCACACTGTCATGCTATGTCTCTCTCTTCTCACACTGTCATGCTATGACTCTCTCTTCTCACACTGTCCTGCTATGTCTCTCTCTTCTCACACTGTCCTGCTGTGTATCTCTCTTCTCACACTGTCATGCTATGTCTCTCTCTTCTCACACTGTCATGCTATGTCGCTCTCTTCTCACACTGTCATGCTATGTCTCTCTCTTCTCACACTGTCCTGCTATGTCTCTCTCTTCTCACACTGTCCTGCTATGTCTCTCTCTTCTCACACTGTCATGCTATGCCTCTCTCTTCTCACACTGTCATGCTATGTCTCTCTCTTCTCACACTGTCATGCTATGTCTCTCTCTTCTCACACTGTCCTTCTATGTCTCTCTCTTTTCACAAATCTTTCCAGTGGTCACAACATGTTTCTTTTACCATTTTCTTTCAACATGACTAAACAATGATGACTACCTCTTTCAGATGTTTGTAAAAATTTGTTTTCGAGCATTCGCCTATTTCAAATGATATGGGTTGCCACTGCCACTACTATTAATATTATTACTATGACAACCATTACTACCACTATTTCTATCATCACGATCATGACGTTTAAAAAAAACGAAATAAAGATTTACTTTCACGCCTTTAGGCGCATCGGGCATATGAAAACAGCAGCAATATTTTTACAGACCAATCGGCACTAGGTAGGTAATGTGGTCAACATTACGCCGGAAGTCTTTACTTCCCCAGGATATACATTCTGGTACCCATTTTAGGCTGGGTCGACCTGCGACGCCCCATACCACGATAAAAATCCACGCAGCCAGCAGTGATACGTTAGAATTACGAGTCGGACTCGCAACGCCTGAGCCACGGACCGTGCACGATCACCACGACTAATACAGTTAATGCAGGTTGTTCTTCGTCGTCGCTCTTAAAAGGCAGTTTGCACCTCATAGTGTCGGGCGTTTTCTTTTTCAAGACTGCGATTCCTGTCCCTGGTCAGTTCAACCACACCGGATCTCAATCATCATCATCATCATCATCATCATCATCATCAGGTGCCTTGTCGACTGTCGTGGGCGATCATGCCTCTCCACAATCTGCGATCTCCTGCAGCATGTATCAGTTCGTGTGCCGACACACTACATGCCATGCAGCATGACTGTCAAGAATCTTCTCTCGTTGTCTTCCTCTGTCCCTCCTTTCACAGATTTTTCCAGTGGTAAGATGTTCCATTTTCTATCTTCTTATAACGTGGCCGAAAAAATGATGAATGTCTCCTTTTGATGTCTTTGATAAGTTGTATTTGGACTCCCGCCTCCAACAAAACCTCTTGGTTGCTCTTTTTGGCTGCCCGAAGTATTTTAAGCATTCTTCTGTAAAACAACATCTCTGAGGCCTCAAAGAAATTGTTTGGCCTGCCTACCGATTGTCGAGGACTCACATCCATATGTTGAAACTGGATATGTGTGGCAAGCAGGAATTCTTTTGCTAACTCTCAATGACAAAGATATACTGCGTAAGATGTTCTTCATCTCAATATCAATAACTAAAAACATAGAAAAGACGTGACTTCAGTTACCTTTTGCTGGAAGAATTCCCCGAGCATTTTAAAGTGATGCTGGAGCCTTCCAGTACCGGGGGATACTCGGTGGTCTCAGCCAGCGTCTGTAAACAGCAACATGCCAAAAAGAGGCTGACGTTCAGCCAGTTGTCCATTCTTCTGCAGATCCTTTAGTAAACATCTGTCTGCACCTTCTGGGTGCTGACTTCTTTGCCTGGGAAGATATAAGAGCAGGTGATTACACCACAAGTGTGCGAAACTGGTGATGAAGACAGATTTCTAAGTACTAAGTGGCGAGTGTAGTGTGTGTGTGTGTGTGTGTGTGTGTGCGTGCGTGCGTGCTTGCTTGTAGGTGTTTCGGGGTGGTGTAGGTGTGGTGTGTGTGTGTGTGTGTGGGAGTGGTGTAGATGGGTGTGTGTGTGAAGTAGTGAATGAATATAGTGTTTGTTCGTATACAATAATATGTACACACACACACACACACATATATATATATATATATATATATATATATATATATATATATATATATATATACATATATTGACGAACTAGTGAGTGAAATGGTGTGTGTATATGCATGCAATAGTGAGTGTATGATGTGCGATTATGTATGTATATATATCTCTATATATATGAAGTAGTTAATGTAATGGTAAGTGTTTTCCTTTGCATATCCTGAGAACAAAATTGTTTTCCTTGAATCTAGATTGCTCCCCAGACCCTCTAGTTTCACATAATCCTTAAGTACTAATCCTGCAATGTTTCATTTCCCTCAATACTTTCATTGTTCTTCATACGTCGCACAAAGTTCTAACACTCCAGGTGTCAGTTCTGGAGGTTTTCCTATGGGAGAGGAGCTCAACGACCCAGACTCCTGTCGGTTCTCTCCACACCGTGTCATACTTTTTCTGCTAGAAGAGCCTCCTTTTATCTTGGTTGGCTGTGTTTTTCTTGTTTTTCTTTTGGTCTTTTCTATGGTTGGCTTTTTTGTTGTTGTTGCTATTGTTTATACAGGATGAGGTATGCCTGGTAGGGTGCAGTGGCACTATTCTTTGCTTCAGGGCGAAGTTTGGTATACGCCGTCAGTTGTCCAGTGGATCCCCGCTCACTGCGGCATACCCGGAAATAAATGGGCGGACAGACTCGCGAAAAAAATTGAAAGAAACAGAAAGAAAACACCCATTCATTGTCATTACTAGAAATCAAAACACTTATCAAGGGAGAATATAAGGAATTTTAGAGAAAACTAACAGTAAACATACACAAGATCCCATCTGCAGACTCAACAGAAAGCAAAGAAAAACTTTTTTCCCCATAGTGTGCTTGTTAGACAGGACCACAAACACATGAGCACATTCTGCAGACCTGCCCACAACTTCGGAAAGAAACATGGCCTCAAGAGCAAAGTGTACAGAACAAACTTTGGGGAACCATGAAACACCCGCTGCTGACTTGCAAGTTCACAGAAGCAACCCACATGATGGTCTGACCTGGGTATACGAAACCCATCACACACACACACACACAAAAGAAATATAATTCGTTGTTAACAGAGATCAGGTAGTACCGACAACTGTTATGTGGTAGCTCTGTCATATCTGACCAAACCTTATTGTGATCATATACAGTGGACCATCTCTATGGTGTATGACGCCCCTGTTAAGTCATTTATTGTACGCCCCTTCTTCCATTAGCTGAACGTCAGCATCCCTATTGTCTTGCTACTTTAATGTCAGAAAGTTATTTTCCTGTTCATAATAATTTTGCTGCACTTATATATTGGCCGCGATGTTCAGCTGTACATGTTGCACATAACCTAAATACGGAAGTATCAGTAAGAAATTCGTTCCCATGTGCGATGAAATTTTTTGTTATTTGAAGCCCCAACCTGGCTTCTGCCGGGGGCCCTGAATATAACCGGGGCATAGATATGGCCTAGCCATAGATATGGCCTAACGGCTGAAAGGGGTTTCTGTGACCTCTCCACGGGGGATCTTCATTCGCATGGTGGCACTTTGTTTCACCAGGTGTTTATCGCTTGTGTGATGTCCTGGTGGGGTACACCTACCTACCTACCTAAATACGGCAATAAGTTCTGTGTCCAAATCTCGAACGCAATTTTGTTGTTGACTCGAAGCCCCATCTTAGCTGTTGCCGGAAGCCCTAATGTTAAAGTCCAAGTCCTTTTAAGAAAAAAATGAAAAGGTCGACCACTTTCAGACTGCTGCTAGCTAGCCGAGGCTGCTAACAGTCTCCGCCTATATTTGTGGTCTGGGTTATTTGCGTCACTTTCGTGACCAAACTCTAGCACTGTGCCATTTCTGCGCGTGATGCTTCCTTTCGAGTCAGAAGCCCTAATGGGTTGAAAGGGTTTATATGATCTGTCCCTGGGTGGTCCTCTTCCGAATAGTAGCATTTTGTGTCACCGGGTCTTTATCGCTGGGTGTGATGTCCTGGCGGGCTTGAACGTCACTCAGTCAAATACGGCAATATTCACAAAAAGTAAATTAATATAGCAGTATCTACACAGAGTAAACAGCGGCGTCCGTGTCTTAGGTGTTGCGATTGCGACTCATAATTCCAACTCACCACGATCGAAACCCACTGATGGCTGCGTGGATTTGTATCATGGTACGGGCGTCGCATGTGGACCCAGGTTAAAACGGGTTAAAAAAGAGTAAAGGACCCTTTCCACGCCTTTAGACGTATAGGGCATATAGGGCTAGACCTATATTTTATAGACCAACGGCACAAGATGGGTGATATGGTCAGCATCACGCCGGCCGCCTCTACTTCCCGGGACTGCACCCGGTACCCACTCATGGTTGGGTCGACCTGGGAGCCAATGTCATTTTGGTAAAAAAGGTTATCAGGATGTATTTCCTGGGGAAGTAAAGACGGCCGGCGTAATGCTGACGACTTTACCCACCTAGTGCCGATTGATCTATAAAAATATTAGTGCTCTTCTCATATACCCTATGTGCCTAAAGGCGTAAAAGGTATCTTTACTTACACACGGTATAAACGTGTAAAAATATACCTACGCCATTTGGTATACCCTGTAACAATAATGATCATAAATAATAACCTCTACAAACGCAAGCCTAAATCTGCAAAAATAAGTATCATACGTAACAATATCTGTTGTCGATTAGCGAAAAATTACTTGGAAGCGGCGAAGATGTGGTTTGATAGACGAATCATGGGATAACCCTGGACAGATAAGAAACTGCCTCACGAACAGAACTGACTGCCCACAACAGAAAAAGACAGTTTACATACTTCGGTCACAATTTGAGAATGAGAAAACTGGAGTACGTCATGAAAGTGTGAAAGTTGAAGGGTGAAAGAGCCAGGGGGAGATCGCGAGAGAAGATTCTGGAGAGTTTGACATCATGACATGGAAGATCATATATGTCACAGAATACTGAAAGACCATGAGACAGAAGGTTGTGGATAGACATGACTACCAGTGCATAAGAAGAAGAACTATACCTACGCAGTCTAGTGTATATTATCAACACATTCAACACAGAATGAAATTTCCCAACTATCAACATACAGCTGAAGTATACTTACAGTTATTGTCAGAACATCTGAAGCTTTTAGTTGCAGTTTGTAATCGAAACAGGAAAGTAAATGTTTTCGTTGGTTTTTTGAGGCTTCGGTTGAGGTCACAGACGCAAAACAGGGCTGTCGAAGTTGGTACTTTTTAACTCTTACTGAGTGAAACTGCACATTTTTTACAACGTCCCATGTGTTTATACGTTTTAGTTTCTCTCTCCTTTTTCTTTACGTTCTCTTTTACTGCTTTGGGCGTCGAAGGGGATATTATTTCCTGCTTCGTGCTTTTCTGGCTGCTTCTATCATAGACACATCGTAGTGTTTTAAAGTTTCTCTAATGTTATCTTCCAAGTTTCTCTCTGCTTACCAATATTAAGATTTGAAACCTCGTTCTTCCTTTGAGACTTTAACAAGAAATTTATTAACGAGATCAAAGCTATTGCTTTATGACATTTACTCCACCAACTTAAAGCAGCCACAGCAGCTTTGTAACAAATTGACTGAGAAAACAAATCGTACAGTAATTATGTAAAGAAAAAAGAATGCAAATTCTCATAAAATATCAGAAAAGCCAGTTATATATATATATATGCAACGTATTTCAAATCGTTCTACGTCAGCCAGTGGCAGAACGCTAAGATTTCTCGAAGCCTTCGCGATTCGTCACTTGCGTCCGGAACTCTGTATTCAGAAGGAGATGGTTCTGTCTTTACGGCTGCCCTGGTAAAAACAGGCAGTCACGTTTGATCGTTTTTTTTTAAATTGTACGTCAGTTATAAAGGGTTCACTTATTTGCTTCATTTATTTAAGTGTTACTGCACCTGACAAGATACAGCGAAATATGCCAGGCAATAAATTGTGCAATCTATGTTTGTGTCTTTTTTGTTCAAACTTACAGTGGGGAAACATTGCTTTAATATATATATATATATATATATATATATATATATATATATATATATATATATATATATATATATATATATATATGTGTGTGTGTGTGTGTGTGTGTGTGTATGTGTGTGTGTGTGTGTTTACAAGATGTTTTAACTGTTTTTAATTGAATATATTTTTTGAGCTATCCTTTTAGTCTGTTTTAGCACTTTTCCAAAACAGTTTGAGAATATCTCCCAAAATATTTCGGCAGCCCTGATGCAGTCAAAAGCGAAACCAAGCTTGAGATTAAAGATATCGTTGATTGTCAGAGGTTGTGTTGTGTCACGTGACCCAGATAGTTGCAGAACTCTGTATGTGTCGTGTCGTTCAAACCCACTAGCCTGAACAACGAGCAACCAACACCCGGTGACACAAAGTGTCACCATTCTGATAAGGATCACCCGGGCACAAGTCCCAGAAACCCCGTTCAACCGTTGGGTTATAATAGGACCCCTAACTACGGCCGTGGTGGGGCTTTTAAGTAATTAACAAATTGCTTCCCACATTGGGACGTGAGTAATGTTGCCTGAAAGTAAGTGAGTAACGTGACTGAACCTGTCGTCCCCATGTGTGATGCAATTTTTCGCTATTCTGAAGCCTCACTCTGGCTTTTGCCGGGGGCCCTAAATATAACCGGGCTTTTAATATGGCC